TGCTTTCCCTAGCTTTAGAGAAAGATAATATCAAAGAAAATACCGTCATGACACTCGCCGGCAATCCCAGTCATAGCCACATCGACCATTCATCATACTATCCCGTACGTCATCCAGTCATCCAGTACTTTCACGCCCCTGGACCTCCCATATTTTATCCTTTTAGTGCCCCGAAATCGCATCCCCTAAGGCTGTCCATCCATCCCGAGCCCAAGGAGCCAGGAAAATAGCCGTCTGCGCATCTGCCGCCTTTCCTGTTCCCGCATACGCCTTTGCCAGGTCGACGGCATCCAACGGTCCCCTAGGCGGGATCGCCTTCATCGCCACTTTGAGCGCCATGTCCGCCGGGTACACTTCACCTGTTGCGTCCGCCAGCTTCGACCACCCATGCGGGAGGTGCGGATAGAGCATTATATCCGTCTGAATGTGCGTCAGGACCTCCCCGCCGTCTTCCTCGAGGTCTTCTCCCGCTCCGGTCCCGCTGCCCAGCGCCGCGATGGCGCCAAGCACCTCACCCACCTGCTCCTGCTCGGCCGCCGAGACACCATGGCTGGTCCGCAAGCCCCGAAGCTCCGTCACGACCGCCTCAACAGATTCTTCGTCGTCGTCGAGGAGGGCGATCACGCCCAGCAGCAACACCGACTGCACGTGGTCCGGCTGTTTCTCGATCACCTCGAAGAGCGCCCCGCGCGCCCTGTCACGCGACTCCTCGGTGCCCGTGGCCCAAAGCACCTGCGCGAGGAGGCATACGGCGTCCGGGTTATCGTCGGACTCGCGCAGCGCCGCCTCAAAGCAGGAAACGGACTCGCCCACGTCGTTGCTGTAGTACTGCGCCAGCCCGACGGTGAGATGCGCCGAGAGGCGAGCCTTCTTGCGCTCCTCCCTGTTCAGCTCGTTGTCTGACTCGTCGTCCGAGAGCTGGATGGCCATTTCGCCGCACTCGATGGCCTTCTCGTATTGTCCCGTTGCAAGGTACATGCGCGCCAGGTCTGTCTTGGCAAGGGCGAATCGAGCGAGAGATTGGGGAGACTCGGTGTGCTCGTAGTCGGCCTCGAGTACGCTACAGATGTGCTCCAGGGTCGAGACGGCACTGACAGTATCGTTGGACCGTTCCCGGAAAAGGGTAGACAGGTGCCCGTACGCTAGGTCTTGCGGTCGCAGATTCTGGAGTTGACCGAGAGCGAAGACCGGCTGTAGAAGAGACATGACGTTGAGATTCGCAGGATTCGTGAGGATGTGGTCGAAGACGGCCACCGGGTACTGCCGTCTCGTCAAGGTCGAGGAAGATTCTGCAATTTCCATCGCGTGCGTAAACAGACCCTTTGCTTCCTTGCCTTCCCCGACCAGGAGCGCAACGAACGCTTGGCCGAGCCAGGCGTGGGCATAATCTGGATCGGTCGACTGCGCTCTCGTGAAAACCTCGTTGGCGAGCCTGACATCGTTCTGCATGACTGCCAGGCTTCCCAGGTTCGTCCACGCTACGGGGCTCCTCTCGTTAAGATAAAGACTGCGAATGAATGAATGCTGGGCCACTGCAGGGTTGACCTCGCATGTGACCACACCGAGCGCGTTCCAGAATTCGGAATTGCCAGCCTCCAGCTCGATGGCCCGCTTGAAACAGCGCATGGCAGCCTTGAGGTATGCACTCAACTTCTTCCTGATGCTCGAGGGCAGACAAGTATGCGCCCGGTGCTCGGCCCACCCCAAGTTGTAGTACGCCACGGCTTGTGCGTGGATGTCTGCGGCAGATTCATGTACAGCCCGCTTGTGGCACAGGATCGTCGCATGAATGGACCGCGTCAAATCCACGCCGAACCTCTCGTCCTCCGAGAAGAGGCCTTTGGCGGAGATGACGCCCATCCCGACGTTGTCGACGTCAGTGAGGATCTCGTACGCGTTGTCGGGGCAATCCTGCAAAATGCCCATCACAGTCTCGGTTGGAAAATCCGCCGCCCGACTCTGCACTGCGGAAAAGACTGAACAAGCATCACCCAGGGCCTTCCAGTAATTGAAGTTGCCCCTGAAGCTCGCCTCGGCCGTTGAGGCGAATGCGATGGTATCTAGCGCGAGCCCGACGGATTTGCCGAACAGGCCTTTCTCGATGCCGTATAACGCATTCTCAATCATGGTCTGCATCAGTGCTATGGCAACACCTTCCTCGCTCGGCCGGCCGTCCAAAACTTCGCGGTACAGGGCGATAGAGTCATCAAAGTCGCCTAATTCTCGCTTGACATTAGCCAGCATGAACTTGGTGAACCATGTATCGCCGAGACGCTCGGCTTCCATTGTCTCTTCCAGTTTTTGGGCATTGAGAATAGCCTTGGTGGCTGCGATGTATCGACCGGACGAGTAATAGCTCTCTCCGAGACCGACCCAGCAGTGGTAATCCTCCGGGACAATCCTCAAGGCCGACTGGAAGGAAATGATGGCCTTGTGGAAGTCTTGCTTGTTCAGTTCTGCCACGCCGAGAGCCGCAAAGGGCCAGCTGATGCCCTTCCTCTTGGAACCCGGGGGCGGCTTGACCTTGCCTGAGTCCACCACTCGCTGAGCCACGAGCTCGACGCGGTCCCAGTCTCCTTCGTCGGCAAAGGACCTTGCAAGTTTCTCCGCCGCGAGGACTTCTGACGAGGAAAGCTCCACGGCCTTCTGGAAGCACCGCCTGGCTCGCTTCCCATCTTTGGCATAGTCCGCGTAGTATACGCCGAGGCTCGTATACGCTGGGGCAAGATTTAGGTCGTTCTTCAGAGCGTTCAGGAAATAGGCGTAAGCCCCCGTCCGACTCTTCCTGGCGGCTTTCGAGGTATCCAAGTCCCAGAGACAGACACCAATCCGATACTGTGTCAACGCGAGGAGTTCTTTCGCCGGCTGGCCTTTCTTCTCAATCGTGGGAAGCGCATCTTCAAGCTCCGCTCGCGCCAGCTCGTGGTTACCCCTCAAGGCCTTGACCCATGCTGCCTCGGTCTTCACACGCATGTTGGTCGGATCCCTCTGAACGGCCCGTTCTAGAAAATCTACTGCCTCATCGTACTCCTCTTCCTCCTCATATATCAGGCCAATACCAATCAGCGCGGGCGTCGAAGATCGGCCATGAGAAAGAACGCCCTCAAATAGAGATTTGGCTTCGCTGTGGTGACGAGGCGATTGATAGAAGACGAGCGCCGTTCCCAGATACAAGGCAAATGCATCCCTGGTATTTTGAAAGGCCATGCCCGTCTTTGAACTCTCCCCCTCAAGATACCTGAAGGCTCTCCGCATCAGTTCCACGTTGCTCTCGTGTTCCTCCAGGTGCTGGTAGTATTCGCCCATGAGACGATAAGCGAAGAGGGAGTCCGATGTGGCGATTCCGTCCGTCATCATGAGGAGTCTATCTTGATCGGTGACGGGAACCATAGACACGCCACCTCCATCATCATCTTCGCTCTCATCCTCGCTTTCGCTGGCCTCCAATTCCGCCGGCGCAGGTTTGGGGAATGGGGATAAGCTGCTCGTCAAGAAGCCAGTGATCACCTTGTATGTGTCACTTTCCGGGAAGAAAGTACAATATTCTCGGAGAATGTTGACGTCCCATTCTTTGATCTGGGCACCGTCCTTCCAGTCGATGACAATGTCCCAGGCCAGCCGAAATGGATGCTTGATAATAACCATGTCGAGGGACAGACGCTGCACCATCTGCAGCGCACCGGCTTTTTTCTCGCCTGCCTGCGCCACAAGGAGCCACTCATACCACCACTGGAGGAGCTTCTCCTCGTACCGACGGCGGGTATCATCATCGTTGGTCCAATTTATGAGCTGCTGGTAGATGTTGGGTAGCTTGCTCTGTCCCAGAACTTCACGCTTGACTTCGCTGGTGACTTCATTGATGCGTGCGCCGATCCTTGTCCTCCGTTCTCCGATGAGAGTGTTGATACGTTTCTTCTCTTCGGTTTCTATGATCTGGGCCATGGTGTCGTACGTCTTGGCCGGGTGCGGCACGCGGCCTTCCAGGGCGGCATATATGGGGCTCTCGGGGAGGATAACTTCGAGGGCTTCGACGTACTGCACTCGGTCGCCGTGGACCTTGACGAAGTCGATGAACTTATCAATGACATCTTGGCACTTGTACATGTCGTTGGCCTGGTGCCAAATGGCCGCCAGACTCAAAGCAGCTTCTCGGTAGCGGGACACCTTCGTGGATCCCTGCTTCTCGTAGAGCTTAATGACGCCTTGCCATGCCTGGCTATCTTGAGGCTTGAGGGATGCGGCTGACTTGTAGGCTTTCTCGGCCTCGTCCAACCTGTTCTTCTTGTCGAGTGCAAAAGCAAGAAATATGGTTCTATGCACATGATTTAGCGCGAGAACAATCATACGAGGCAACAGAATGGATGGAAGGAAAATCAATACGCTTGGTGGTTCCGTGGCTCTGTCTCGAGCAAGTCATTGGCTTTCTGGGCGGCATCGTCCCATTTAGATTGTTTAACGGAATCGGCTATGGACTTCAGCTGGGCCTTGACACTCGACATCTTGGCAGTGTGTGAAGCTTAGACTTGATCACAGCTTTCATTCGGGGGTGGGTGAATCGAGGGGTTGAGCGACGAGCGATGAGTGATGAGACGTTTCCAAGGAATGCTCCGGCATGGCACACCCCTATCGGGGAAACCTTTCAGCGAAGGCGAAATACTGAGTAATCAGTTAAGAGTAGCCGACTAGCCAGGCAGTTGCGGCGAGACGTGTTGGCTCTCTATTCCTAGGAGTTGGAATAAAAGGTTGTTGAAGTTGCAGAAGCTGTGGAAGCTCTCGGGTGTGAAGCTGCCTGGGTACCTAGTACCTACCTCTACGTGACTAAGGCGACTATCCGTACTCTCTCTCTCATGACGTTTGATGTGCTTACGTCAGATTCTTCCCGTTGTTGAAGGGCTGTTTGTTCCGATAGGTTATTACGGTAAAGTACCTTTTAGCGACGAAGGACTTTGCTGCCCCGTTGCGCTTTATCCGTCTGATCAACTGTTCAACAAACCCCGGCCGGCAGAGACAAGCCATTCTTCGCTCTCCCTATCACCGCCGACTGCGACGTGGGAAAGGCACGCCCCCTTCTAAATAGAGACAAAAAGAGGAAAAGGGGGAATGAAAAGCAAAAAGCAATGATAGGCTGGTCCCAGAGAGGCTCGAACTCTCGGCCTTCGCATGAGACGATTTGGTATTAGTACGACGCTCTAACCAACTGAGCTATGGGACCGCCGATGGGAAGCTCGCCTTGGTAATACGACTATAGCGTCAGGAGAAGACATCCCATCGAGATGTACGGCGCCCACGTCCATTCACACTTGGCTTTATATGGTGTTCAACGGGCTGTCCTGGCGCTGTTGAACAACGATGTCTCGAAATTGGGAGACGAAAAGAAAGGTTGATGGATAGCGCCACAAACCTACAACTTTGTATAAGGTAGTGGCTTATTCAAGTGAAATTACGGAGTACATCCAGCGAGCTCAGACCACGTCCGGGCTGTGGCTTACGCACTGCATACAACTTACAACTCGCCACACCAGCCACACCAGCCACGACCTGGGTGAGAGATGGGGAAGACTTTCTCTCACGACTCCCGAAACCCCTTTTCCTCAGGAATTGCCTACCATGCCAAACCATTAGTTCTCGCTACGTTATCCTCGACCATCTCGCATATTGATCACTAGCACCGAGACCTCGGGCAATGGATCGAAACTTAGCAAGAAGGCTGCTCGCAGCCCCGCCGCAACTCCGAACCGCCCTTCTCGCTTCGTCGTTTCCTGCACATGCGCCCCTGCTTCTCTTGCCGCGCTACTCGAGCTCTATGCCGACGATCGCGCAGCCCGAGTTCTGGAAGTCTCTCATCCCGAAACCGTTCCGACCGGAGGAGAAGCTGCCCGACGACCCGATGATCAAGCGTGTCAAGGCTAAAAAGGTCCAATCGAAGGAATGGAACCCGGCGACCTTCTACATTGTCATTTTCCTCCTCATAGGGTCCATGTCCATCAACCTCATCTCGCTAAGGCAGTCGTTCGAAACTTTTATGCGCCAGTCTGATGTGCGCATCGGCTTGCTCCGGGAGGTCATTGAGAGGATACAGAGGGGGGAAAGGGTGGATGTCGAGAAGGTCTTAGGGACGGGGAATCCGGACAAGGAACAGGACTGGGCCGAAGGTAGGACGAGATGAGAACGTGAGGGAGTTGTGCATGGGGATCAAGTCTCTGCTAACACATGAGGCGATTTTTTTTTCTTCTTTTTTAGTTCTCCGCGAGATTGAGCGCGACGATGTGACACGCAGTCAGCGAAAGGAGCGCTCCCGGAGCAGCAGCAGCAGCAACAACAACGAGCCAACCACAAGGTCCAAGCCAGAACAAACGTCAGAACCGCAACCTACCGAGGCGAAGACTAAGGCGATCAAAACGCGAACACAAGAAACCGGCATATCGACCTTCTTTTAGGTTCGCCAATATACAATGAAATGGTGTAACATTGGGGGACGCTCTATTCTTCCCCGAGCGAGACGTGCTATGATGACATGTTCTTGAACATCGCGCGGTTGTTCCTCTCAGCCTCCATCTCCGCTGCTGATGTAGAAACACTCGCGCTTCTAGAAGAAGACTGTCGTAGCTGGTCAACCAAAGCCGGTAGTAGTGTGTCGGTAGAAAACTCCACTCGAACCCTCTGCTCCCCTGCTTGCGTCCAGTCGACGGTGGAATAGAGCTGATCCTCTCCGCGAACCCCGCCCATGTTGACGATGGCGATGGGGATGCGCCGCTCCAACGCCCTCTTCGCCAGCCGCCAAGCCGAGTACGTGGCTAAGGACGTGCCGAGCACGAGGAGCTTACCAGCCGCGTCGATTGCCTCCTCCGCGGCTGTCTTTACGTGGCCGGCGATGTTCTCGCCGAACATGACGACGGCGGGTTTCAGGACGCCGCCCGTGCTGGTGGGCTTCCAGGCACCGTCGTGGTCCACTTGGACGACGTGTGTGGAGCCATCGGGGGCAGATGGCGGATGGGCGAGACACTTGGGGCAGGCCGGGTACCTGAACGACATGTAAGGGGCGCCTGGCAGGTCGACGTCGCCGTCGGGGTTGGTCCGGATGCCCTTGGTCTCGCGTTCCGCCGGGTCCTCGGTATCGAGAGCCCCGGAGGCGAGCACCTCGGCCAGGAAATCCGCCCAGGGAGGATTGAGCCTGGCCAGTTCGTTCTGGAAGGTGTCTCGCGGGTACTCGGAACTGCAGGTCACACAGACGGTGGAGCGGAGGTAGCCATGGAGCTCGAGTGTGGGCAGGGACGGGTGTGCTTTGGAATGGAAGGAATCGACGTTCTGGGTGATGACGCTCCGGACGAGGCCCAGGTCGGCCAGGTCCCGGATGGCGTAGTGTCCGGGGTTGGGGGCAGCTTTACGTAGGGTAGTCCAGCCCAAGAAACTCCTCGCCCAGTAACGTTTCCTGGCCTCGTGGTTGCCAAGGAACTCGTGGTAATAGATGGGCCTGTACGTCTTGTTCACGCGGTAGGTTCCCTTGACGCCCCGGTAGTCGGCCAGGCCACTGGCAACCGAGAGGCCGGCGCCAGAGAGGACGACAGCACCAGGCGAAAGGCCAGGTCGGGGCGGTGCGGAGAAGAAGTTTTGGAGGGCTGCCAGGGCACCAGGGAAGGTGTTTGCGTTTCTCGGCACAATGGTTGGCGGTGCAAGGGCGTCTGTGTAAGGTATGCGAACGGGAGGCTTGCGCATTGGGAACGAGGTGGGATATGTGAGTTGAGTTGAGGTTGGCTGAAGTAGGGTCAAGGACACTCGGTATCATTCGCGATAAGGCGGCCGGTATGAAGTGGTAATATAAGACTCTGTATTGATATAAATCGCCAATATTCAAACCAAGATCTAAACGTGGTGAGGTCAGAAATATAACTACCTAGGTAGGTAGTACCCTGGGCCTACTGTAGTTGTCTTTGACCGTTGAGAATTGAGCAGAGACTAAAAGATCAAGGCCGTCATCAGGTAAAGGATGACAAAGCTCTGGACTTCGAGGTACTTCGTACATGCTACGGAGAAATACACGTATAACAGCACTGGGCTGATAAGGATTTGGATAGACGTCTCCCGACCTTACCTATTAACGGTTTCTGGGGCAAGCTGATGAAAAGCTACAGAGTGCAGGTACTTCGTACCAAGTTACCTAGGTACAGCGTGTGTCGAAAAGCTGCAATCAATTCAATGCTCTCTGTACTTCAGAGACTACGGTACCTGCCTTTTTATTCCGAAGCTCCCGAAAATAGACGTTGGGGAGACACAGGCTTTTTGTGTAATTAATTAAAAAAATTCACTCCATACAGACACACGGATGATCTGATCTTTTCAGGTATCGACCTATGCACAATCCCATTTTATTCCCTAGGTATATTTGATTCTTACCATTCTGTTCACATTCCCAGCTTTTCCCCCCACCAGTGTAGAATACATTCTCTCTCAATCCCTCCTTCCTTGAATCATTTAGTCTCTACCTTATCCAGGTCGATCGATGTTCGATGAGCAACACGACAACAGCTTTCCGCTTTCTGTTATTCCGGGCGCCCTCACCCCCGTCACCCCCCTGGACCCGCTTACCCCATGTCCACCTGTCATAGCTCAATCCCTCAATCCCTCAATCCCGGACAGCTCAATTGTAAACCATTGTACCTTGGCTTGGGTTATCACTCATTACCTTACCTTACATACCAACCCGTCTGTCTACCTGCCTTGATATCAAGAGGCAGCAATGTCGGTTGCTCTCGTCCATGGCAGGCGTTCTAGAGGCCTTTTAACATTCCAGTCACGCACTTCACTTGGAGTTGAGATTCGAAGCGTCCGATGCCCAGGCCCGATTACCCCGTTCCATGCGCGAGCGACCAGAGCGCTGACAGTGGCTGGAATAAACGGTTGTGCCACTGCCACTGGAATCTGCACACACTACACACGCATTGGAGCTCAGGCACAGGCACCCACTAAATTACGCCCACACCGTTGCCCAGACTACTCGAGCTTCAGTGCAACTCGCCTGGATTCGATGGTTGAACGGCACTCGTCGGAAAGCCACACACCCTCTGCGTCTTCTGGCCTTGCATTTACAACTACGACTAAAAGAACTGGTAAAACTGGAAAGATTGGTAAAACTTCCACTACCCGGAACTCCGTCCCAGCCCAACGCCAGCTGGATCCGTCCATCTGGAGGCCCGTCCTCCGAAACAAAAGCGTGCCCTCCATCTCCATCTCCATCTCCTGCTCCTCCTCCTCCTCCACCTGCACCTGCACGCGACACCCCGTTTCTTGGTCGTGCCAGAGGCCACCTCAACCGCATCCGCCGCCACAATCCCTGCACGCTGTCTACCGGTCAAGCGCCCGCCGAATCTCCCAAACTCGGTCGTCATCCTCTCCCTCCGCATTTTCTTTCACTACTTATTTTCCAACTTATCGCTCTCTCTTATCACGCCATCCGTCTTTGACTCCTCCAGCAGCTTCCCCAACCAAGACCGACCCCTTCCGTCGCGAATTCATTCGTGCTTTTGCATCGTCGTCGCGACCACAACCTCTTAGGCCTTCTACTCGCTTGCCTCGAACGGCCATGGCCGGATCTTCTGTCGGCCAGACACGCGCCCACGGTGGCCCTTTCCACCACCACCACCATCATCATCATGATAATGTGTACCTGACCTCGACCAACAAGAACGATGCCGGCGTACGGATTACAAGGATCGGCCTGTACTCCAACCTGGGTATGGCCCTGGTGAAGGGAGGCGGCGGTTACATGTTCGGATCCCAAGCCCTCGTGGCCGACGCATGGCACAGCTTAACGGATCTGGCGTCCGACATCCTGACGCTGGCCACTGTGTCATGGAGTCTCAAGCCCCCGACCGACGCGTTCCCCTCCGGTTTCGGAAAGATCGAGAGCTTGGGCTCTCTGGGCGTGTCTAGCATGCTACTCACCGGAGGGCTGTTCATGTGCTGGAGCAGTCTCGTGACCTTGTACGCGCACTTCTTCTTGGACCCTGCCTCGGCAGCTGAGACCATTGCCCACATGCACCACGGCCACAGCCACGGTCACGGTCACGATCATGGCCATGGCGCCCCAAGTCTACACGCAGCCTGGCTGGCCGCTGGAACTGTGGCTATCAAGGAATGGCTATACCGTGCGAGTACGTCCAACCCCCCTCAGCCTTCCTTTCCCTCCATACCACCCTTTTTCTGGCATCCGCTGACCGGTGGATTTCGTCGGGGGTGGAAAACAGCCATGAAAGTCGCACGCGAACGGAAATCATCCGTCCTAGCCTCCAACGCCGTCCATCACCGAGTCGACGGTCTGACGGGGATCGTGACGCTAGCCGTGGTCCTGGGCGCGAACATGCTCCACAACGCCGCATGGCTTGACCCCGTGGGCGGCCTGCTCATCTCGCTGCTGGTCATCAAGGCCGGCGCCGAGAACACGGTCAGCGCGCTGTACGAGCTGGCCGACCGCAGCATCGACGACGAGATCAAGGGGTCCGTGCGGAAGAACGTGCAGAGGAGCCTAGAGGCGCAGGGCGCGCGGCGCGATGTCGAGGTCCGGGACGTCTCGGGCGTCAAGTCGGGGCAGAACTACCTGGTCGACGTCGAGCTGGCCGTGCCGGGCGACTGGACGGTGGAGCAGGTGCGGGAGGTGGAAGAGGCGGTCCGGACGCAGTTGGGGTCCAAGGTCCGGGGCGTGCGGAAGGTAAGGGTGCGATACGTGCCCAAGGACGCGCCGGTTGCGCGCAAGTTTGACGAGTACATCCCGGGCAATGTCAGCCCGAGGGAGAGCCCGGAACCCGAAGACGAGCACGACCACGACCACGATCACGACCACGACCACCACGAGCAGAATGGACACAGCAAGAGCAACGGACATGATAAGCATTCGTAAGGTCGAACTCGATATCCTGTCATCTTTTGGCGGCTAGAGGTGCCCCTCGCGCATGCGGGGCTAGGGTTAAGATTGCAGAAAAGAGAGAAAGAAAGAAAGGAGGAAGAAAAAAACATGCGCTCCTTTGAGCACAACGATATCCAAATCCACAGATACACTGGGAGGATTTACCGCAGAGAATAGGACCGAGGACAGAAGGCGGCTTGAGAGGTGTGATACCCACAGCTACCAAGCTTGTCAGAAGAGACCCAGAATAGATATGAAGAGAGGGGTGTGACAGATGATGGGTGTTGAATTAAGAGGGGAAAACGGAAGCAATGGGTCGCAAGTTGAAAGGTTGTGATCCCTCCCTCATTTCCTATCCCAATCCCTCCCACATATCCCATTGGGGATTTACCCCTCTTTTCTTCAACTTTTGATCATCTATCCGGACGTTCCGACAGTCAAATCTATGCTGCGTCCGATGCGAGTCTTGAAGCTGGTGTCAAGACTTGGAAGAACGGTGTTTCAGGCGTGTTATTTACCGAAGGTCATTATTAAAGATTTGTAGGTGAGCGGGAGAGCGGGAGAGAATAGGCCAGGACAGGCCTTCCCCGGAGGCAATAAGGGAAAAACAATATATATATATATATATATATATATATATATAATTCAGAACTAAGGGTTCTCCCAACTCGGGGGTTGCGGCTCCACAAAGCAAGCTTCTCGCTTCGCTTGCTTGGGACAGGACCACGAGCACAGGGAAGTCCCAAATTACTTCGTACACTGATTATCCCGGCGGGTACTCCCTAGGTACAAATGGAATCCCAATAATATGGTCCAATGTCTTTCTTGTCACGTTCGGGGACGAGGTTCCCGCCTTCTTGCGTGCCTTACACTTTGTTGTTGCTGAACTCCTTGCTATCTCTCACCTCAGCTCTCCAAAGGAAGCTATTTTCTGGACTCTCCCTTTTGCACTTTTTCTCCTTGGCATCCTACTTTTCCGTACCACCGGATAGCTGTCTCCCTCGACATCGCTCCGGCAAAGAAGCATATCATCTTCACCTCCTCTTCTTCTCCCTCTTACAGTTGTATTTATCCTGCGGAAATGGTCTAGCCTCTACTCTGGAGAACCCGGAGCACGCGCTGTCACGCGGATGAAATGAAGGAACGCAATGCTATTGGTCCGGTTGATTTGGAGAGCTATGGGGGTTGGGCGAAAAGGTACGGAGTGCTCCGTATTACTCGTACGAAGGGAGAAGTCCATCGCGAAGCGAAAAGGAGTCGTGAAAAGACCCGATTCGGCTTGAGAACAGAGTTTTTTTATTTAGGCTATTCTCAAAGTTCAACGACTTGGGAATAGGAAGGATAAGAATTTGACTTCCGTCGAGCTCTTGCTATCCCGATACGAGTTATTAACGGTTATGTAGCAAAGCCGACGACGATTGAAATAAGCGGGCGTCCGTAATCGACGCTTCAGACCGTTGAACGGATCAAGAGCGTTCCGTTCTATCCGTAGGATTGATTTCAAAAATCGAACGTCGTCCAATTCTGCCCAGCATCTTTCCTTTGACTTCGTGGAACGGTAATCACAACTGGGTCCGGCCTACTTATTGGCTTCCTCCTTTGCCCCCTGAATAAAACTCGTGTTGTACACGTGTACAGAGAAGTGGACGTACGATGTAAATGTACACAGGTGGCGAGGGGTTCGAAATGTAAGGTAAGGTAAGGTAAGGTAAGGTACTGTAGGACAAAGTAGAATTACATCGATGAACCTCCTCGTAGGGCCGACGTCAACCTCAGTTCCCCAACCCTTCCTAACAACTCCGTACAGAAGACGTTTCCCTACAAATATTTCCTCGTAATATACGAAGTTGGTTCTCCAATATTACGGATACCTTATTTCGTTTCGTCTCTTATCGAGAGGCAGAGCCCACTACGGTATCCACACCCCTGGATAATAGGGAGAGACAGACCCCGCCTACCCCAATTCAATTCTACCCTCCCTTTTTCACGTACCAAGTTAAACCCCTTCCCCCCCACGCGTCACGATGATGATGGGTTGTGTCATTACGTACGTTGTAGGTAGACCGCTTGACTTTGAGAAGAAGCATCAGCCCGTAGTACCCCGTACCTTACGAATTGGAATACAAACCCCCCTCTTCCAAGAAGGGCTTGGTCTATCGATACGATTCCATACCTTAGCTACCTTGTGATCTTGCTCGTATTTATTTGATTCTACCCCTCCCCCGCTCTCTTTTTACCCCTTCGACAGGCACAGGCACAACACAACACCATCGTGACTATCGTGAGGATCCGAGGCAAATTCCTAAATTTATCAATACCGAATTACACAGTTCCCACGGGCTGCTGTGATTAGAACCAGTCAGAGCCGTGTCCCCGTCACATAGCTCTTCCGCCTTCTTAATAGACAGTTCGGATCATAGAAAACATCGAATTCCCGCTACACCCGTTGCAACACCCTCGCGACCATGTCCCAAGGCGAGGAAGGTCCTCTTTACCTGGGGCTTGACCTGTCGACCCAGCAGCTCAAAGGTACGTGAGGGGTACCGTCACCAGCCTCGACTCTCAAGTCTCCAATGGAACCGCCCTGCCTTCGTCCCGTATGGGACAACCGTGGCTGACGTCTCTCTCCCAGCCATCCTCGTCCAATCCGACCTCCACGTCGTCTCCGAAGTCAAGGTCGATTTTGATGCAGATTTCGGTTCCAAATACAAGATCCGCAAGGGTGTTCTCGTCAACGAGGCTGAGAACGGGGTCTTCGCTCCCGTCGCCCTCTGGCTCGAATCTATTGACCTCGTCCTCGCTCGCCTGCGCGATGCTACCCCGGGTGGCCTTGGCCGCATCCGTGGCATCAGCGGCTCGTGCCAGCAGCACGGGAGCACCTACTGGAGTCGCGACGCCGAGTCCCTCCTCGCCGGCTTGAAGTGGGATGAGAAGGAACCCAAGGGCCTCGTCGACCAGCTAACAGACGCCTTCTCCCATCCATTCGCTCCCAACTGGCAGGATGGCAGTACTCAGGCACAGTGTGATCGCTTCGATGCTGCCTTGGGAAGCGCACATAGACTGGCCGAGGTGACTGGCAGCTCTGCTCATCATGTATGTTCCTCCATGTTCTTCCTTGCCCCCCTCCCCCCCCTTCTTTCGCTGTTGTTGCTGCCGCTGTCTCGCCGTCTTCTCTCCCGTTCTCCGGTGGTATCCGCCCCTCTCACAGAGGGCTCACTCAGGGAGATGAGAGGGACAGCGGGTAAAGACCGTGTAGTAGTGAGAAACAGCTCAACTAATGTAATACCAGCGCTTCACCGGCACCCAAATCATGCGCCTCCGCGAGAAGCTTCCCGAAATGTACGCTGCGACGTCCCGTATCTCCCTCGTCTCCTCCTTCCTCGCCTCCATCTTCCTTGGCTCCATTGCTCCCCTCGACATTGGCGACGTCGGCGGCATGAACCTGTGGGACATCCAGGCTAAGGCCTGGTCCGAACCTCTGCTCGCCCTCGCTGCCGGTGGTGAATCGGAAGCCGCCGGCCTGCGTCAGCGGCTGGGAGAACCCCGCCTCGACGGAGGCGGCTCCATGGGCGCCATCGCACCCTACTTCCGCGCCCGCTACGGCTTCCACCCCGACTGTCAGATCGCTCCCTTCACCGGCGACAACCCCGCCACCATTCTCGCCCTGCCCCTTCGCCCCCTCGACGCCATCGTCAGCCTTGGAACGAGCTCCACCTTCCTCATGATCACCCCCGTCTACCAGCCGGACGAGTCCTACCATTTTATGAACCACCCTTGCACGCCGGGCCAGTACATGTTCATGCTGTGTTATAAAAACGGCGGCCTCGCCCGAGAGACCGTCCGTGACCGTCTACCCAAGCCTCAGGGACCCGACAGCACGCCCTGGGACGAATTCAACAAGTGCGTCCTCGACACCCCCGCCCTTGACCTCCCCGTCGACAACGAGGGGAACCCCGTCGGAGCCGACCCCAAGGCCAAGATGGGCCTGTACTTCAATCGCCCGGAAATCGTCCCCAACATCCGCGCCGGCACGTGGCGGTACACCGTCGCTCCGTCCGGCGACCTCTCTACGCTGCAGGAAAGCAAAGAACCGTGGGACCCCAAGGTCGACCCCCGCATCCTCGTCGAGTCGCAGGGCCTCTCCATGCGCCTCCGCTCGCAAGCCCTCGTCGAACCGCGAGGCGCTTCGTCCTCCTCCGCCGACGACGACAAGCCCACGCTCCCTGCCCAGCCGCGCAGGATCTACCTCGTCGGCGGCGGCTCCCTCAACCCGGCCATCGCGCAGGTGCTCGGCTCCGTGCTCGGCGGCGCGGAGGGCGTGTATCGCCTCGACGTCGGCGGGAACGCCTGCGCTTTGGGCGGCGCCTACAAGGCAGTCTGGGCCCTCGAGCGACGCGATGAGAACGAGACGTTCGACGACCTCATTGGCAAGCGGTGGCGCGGGGATGAGGCTGTCGAGAAGGTCGATGTCGGCTACCGCCCCGGCGTTTTCGAGCGGTACGGCAAGGTGGTGGGGGCTTTCGAGGAGATGGAGAAGCGCATTCTCGAGGTTGCTAAGAATTAAGTCTCGCAAAGCTTGGCATGGACGGATGGGTGGAAATTGCATGGGCTCATGGGACGGTGCATGACTGGTAGTAATGATTTAGAGGCGTTGCTAATCTTAAAATTAGATCTCCTTTTTGGTTCATTCTGATCTTCTTTGCCTGATGACAACTTCTCTCGCGCGCTTTACCTACTCACAACGTATACTGTCGACAATCAAAATCATAGTACATAATGTAAGGAATCGATTCGCAATGTATCGCATCGACACCTTTTGAGCAAACCGAATTTACCATGACAGGTTCATGAACCAATTCAACTCCATGAAGCTTGGATATCACATCACACTGTGCATCACAAAGAGTTATCAAGACTAGTGCTCGTATTAGGGGCTGAGGTTTCTCGTCCTCCCAGGGCCTGAAATAATTTCCTAACCTGTCCCCATCAACTCAGTAGAAGTCATCGAGTCTCCCATACTAAGTTCCAAGGTATGAAGAAGGGAAGCCCAAAAAGAAGAGAGAAACCCCCCATAGCCCTCGACGCATGGAGCGGAGCCTCGAGTCTTGCTTTTTCCTACATTCCGTAAACCTCCAGAGATCACCAGCCATTTTTTTTGGGAAAGGATCCATGTACAAAGCAAATGGGCGAGTGAAAATAAAAGCAAGCAAAATGAGTCAAAAGTATCCCGCCGGGAAAATGCTACCTCCTGTTTTCCTGGTCATCCGTAGCCCAAACGCCCCAGAATTCAAATCGTCGAGACTGGATCGAAATCCGATGGCGTTGACGAAAGGAAGAAAAAGAAGAAAAAGAAGAAAAAAGAAGAAAAAAAAGATGATAGTGAGACGACTATGGACGAGAACGGCAAAGACTCAGGGAGGTTCCCGTTCCTCTGGATTTTAGAGCAGAAGGGCCGCGGCGGCGACAATGACGATGGAGGAGAAGTAAGCCCCGCCTCCGACACCGACACCGAAAAGCTCAGCCCGCTTCTCACCACCGGAGACCAGAACGGCCGTCGTGGTGGTGGCATTGGAGAAGGACATCGCCGGACCGGACGTCCCGGTCGAGAGGAGCGTGGTGATGGTAGTGCCGTTCGCCCTGGGGAAGACGGGAACAGGCGTGACCGCGTGGTCAGAGGCGCCGGTCAGGGTAACGGTGCGGGTGATGGTGACCAGCTCCTGGCTAAGCTCGGCCTCGGCCGTCTCCTGCTCAATGACGGAGCCGTTGACGGTCGCGAGGATGGTGCGGGTGACCATCTCGGTGTGGGTGATGGTATGGTGCTCCGTGACGGCGACAACATCGCTGGGAGGGATGTAAGTGACGGGAGTCGTAAATGTGACCGTCTCGGAGCGAGGGGAAGTTTGGTTGGCCGGGTGAACTGTAACCGTGACCTCAACGCCAACGGTAGTAGTGTAGCCACCGATCACGGGGGTGGTCACTTCAGTGTTGACCTCAGGAGCCTCAAGGACCCCAACCTCGGTGGAGCAGTCGGTCATGGTCGACGTCACGGTGCTGGGCTCCTTGTCCTGGCCAAAGGGCTTGAAAATGCCAGTGGTCTTGGCTTCCGTGGCAGTGGGAGTGACGGTCTGAGTGACGGTGATGTAGACCGTCCCGGAAAGCTCAGATTCATCATCAGGATGCTCAGTCGACTGGGGCATGAGGGTAGTGTAGACGGTGTTATCTCGTGTGATGTGGATGGTACTAGTGCTACCGACGACGGTAGTGGTAGACTCGATCGTCGAGACGACCCCAGAGCCGGTGGTGTTAGACTTGACAAGAGGATGATCCTCAGTGACCGTACGGGTCAAGGTGACAGTGGGGGTGAATGTCACCGTGGTGTCGCTCCAGGTCTCCTGTCCAGTACCCGAGATGGTAGCATTGGCGGGATTCGCGGAAAGAATGGCAGTCTCAGTGGGAGACGGGATTTGGTCCTCAGTGACAGTCACGGTGGCAATCACAACAGAAATGGCACTCGTCAGGCTGATGTCCCCATGGTGAGTAACGGTGCTGCCCACAACGGTTTCCATGACTTGGCCGGTAATGACAGTGGTGTTGAGCCGCCTATTAATACGTTATATCTGTCAGTGACCGAACAGGCGGATCTTAACATGAGGGACAGACTCACGTGGAGGTAGTCTGGGTCTCGACTTCATCAAAGGGGGCAGCGGTGACAGTCTTAATCTGGTTCAGGGTCGAGGTCAAGGTAACAACTTCAACTGGGTTGCCGGTTCCATGGGGAAAATGGGTAGCGCGGGTGGCATTGGGGAAGCCGTAAGTGTGATTACCAGCATTGAGGGCCCGAACCATGAGCTGGGCAACATCAAGATCCTCAGTCACAGTGGAAGTGCTGGCAGGAGTCATGGGAAAAGCTGGCTTCAAGTTAGAGGAGGCCAGTTTTTCAGAATATGGGACTGGGAGCCTTCTTGACGAACCGGAGATGATGAGTCCAACTCCAAGGGCAATTACAATGAGGAACTCAATGGCGAGGACGATGACACAGCAACGGGAGACAGCAGGCGTCTTCTTCCGATAACGAACAAGAGCATCATTCTGCGAGAGGCCCTTCTCTCCCTGGTCAGGAAAAGAGCCCATTTCAGTTCCGTAATTCATCTGTTGGAATCGCAGAATATCTGTGAGCACTGAGCACAAAGTAAGAGAGGTGGGAACAGTGGGAAACAAGACTTACTTTCGATGGCTCACCCCTTGGGTCAGGTTACCTTATCTGCTCGGATAATGATTAACCAGGTGATGGTGCGTGGTTATGGAGTTGTGCGTGATGTGTGATAGAAGATTTATGGGCAAGTGAGTGAATAGCAGAGTAAATAAAGAGAGAGGAGAGGGAACTGGATAAAGAGAGTGAGCGGTGATAGGGGAGTAGAGAAAAGAGATAGAAGAAGAGGGAGAGGAGGTAAAGATAGGATAGGCATAAGAGGGCAAGGGAAAATAAACCAGTGTGCCGAAGATAGGGCCATAAACAGGCAGGCACGAAACAGGATATGACCGGAGCACTTTATATTAACCGACGGCAGGCACGCAATTTCCCAAAGAAGAAAGGAAAGAGAAGGGAGGGACAACGTGTAGAAGAAAGGGAACTGAGGGAAGGAAGCACAAGGCATGTGTTTAGGGCATCAAAATAAAGGAAGGAACACAGAGAGTTGATTCTTTATGTTCTGGGAAGTCACGCGAGGAAGAAGAAAGACTTGCAGACACTAGACAGAGGTATAGAGTGTTTTTGTTGATATACGAAGCATAAAACCCCGTCTGCGTCAAGTCAAGTGAAAGTGAGGGTACCTTATACGGGAACAGGTCGTTATCTGTATGTTATGAAGAAGATTCAACTTACTCCGAGTGACAGGGCGGCTTGTTTGAAATCACGGAGATGCAAGTTAGACAGCTAGAATGCAAGAGGTTGTCAGAACAGTAAACAGCGTAAACACTTGGGAAGACGATCGTGGTTATGGCAGTGGTGGATAGGGGTGTAGAACTGACCTGGTATTGGGCATAGGCTGGAGATGAGTTATGAACGAAGGGAAGTTAGAGGCCAGCAACCACGAGGGAGAAAGTTGTTCATGTAGTGCGGATGGAAGGAGCTTGCTGATCTATAATTTACAACATCCGTGAAGCATATGACACAGGCAGCCCTGATCTCCTAGTCAGATGAAGATTGTTGTTGGCTATGACTGTCTACTTTAGTACTTACATTAGAGACAAGTTAAGAAGCTGGACTCTACTTAGATGAGATTCGTGGTTGTGTTGAAGGTGTTAATATTCGCCTCTTGGCTGTTTCTTATGCTTAAACTCTTCACCCCCCCCCCCCCCCCCCCCGGACAACTGTTGTTGCAAAAGGGCAGAAGACCTAGGAGAGTCCTGGTTGAACGTAGCTAACTATGCATGCCGCCTAGAGTTCCGCCTCCTGAAACATTTTGTGATTCTTTTTGTGATGTGATAGACTAGGCTAGGTTGTCAGGTTTATATATATATATAAGTATATACGTCCGGCTTATCGGAGACGGGAAGCTACCGCGGTTTCAGGCCCGCCCAGCCAATTCGTTGGCTTGGCCTCTTATAGACACAATTCCAAAGAGAATAAAAGGGAAAGTTTCGGCCTCTCGTTGTCAAGGTCTTATGCCTTATGAAGTTCTCCCATCGGAGGAGTTCCAACTTACCTTACGTAGTGGAGCGTGGGAGTTCCTCAAAACTAAGGGGCTGAGATGGTATACCGTATGGACAACTCGTCCGGTGTCTAGTATCCCGGAAGACGGGTTCATAGAATCCAATCAAACAATTAGTATACGATATGGACTCAATGGGGGCATAAAAAGCTGAACCTGATGACACTTGCGCGATGAGAATCACTCAACCCCAGGTCAAGACCTATTATAAAACTCATATAGCCTCTCTTGTAAGTTTAAACAATACGAGCTAATCTCACGACCTGCAGATGTGGGTAATTTGTAAAGAAGGTTGCTATCGCGACGAATGTGGCGAACAGGTAGCGAAGTTTGCCGTCTGCAGCAGACCACCTGAAGCCTTCAGTAAGAGTTGCTTGAAGTCACATCCCGGTCCATATGCGTAGTACGTTCCAGTTGTTATGACCTAATATTGGGCCAAAATGGAAGTGCACGAAAGCGTTTATGAATGACAAAAGACCTGACAATGTTGCGGTGACGGTGACACAAGAACCCTCAAGCCTGGAAAGCAGGAGATCGGTATTGGATATTCTTGAGTTAAAATGATACTGATAGTCTGGAGAGATGGAACATGAGAAACGAGGAATATGTTATGGTTGAGAACTTGAGTGAGGAGGAGAATATGTACTTCGTAACATAGCAGGACAGGGGGAGCTGGGGGAGCTTGGACCAACTACCCGCTAACTGGTCCACGGGTTACATCCTCCCACGCGCCACGGTCGCGTTATTACCTAGGTATTATCTCCCGCCTATCTCACTCACAGACAGAGTACATAAGGTATTCCATAAGGTACCGACGCCAAGGAAGCACAAGTTGATACGTAGTGCCTCCGTACGGAATACTGTACGAAGTAGGCATAGTACACTACCTTTTCCCCTGCCCCCTTACAGTACCAATGCAGGTACCTGTCTTCTCAATCCGGTAGTACTTCAAGTACCTGGTACTTTGTCGCAATAATCGTGGGAAAGCGCAACCCACCAACCTCCCTCCTCCCCAAGAAAGTCCAATACGCCAAGTAATACGTACGACTCCGTACTTCGTACATTGAGCATTGAGCCGCCCTCGATTACCCTCCTCTAATCTGTCCTTCACCTATTCCCCCCCCCGCCATCTAAACTTCACATCTCCCGTCTCCAGTCTTAAGGAGCTTGTTTTATTGTATTTTCAGAATTCATTGTACAAATTCTCTACTGCGGCAGGTTTTTTCCTTCCTATTTTTGCAGTACTCGACGCGAACGCCATTGATCAGTCCAATTTTGATCCCACACCTCGCATGATCCTCCACGCGACTTGCCTCCCGTCTCTTCGTTCTCCTCCCTCCACTCCTGCGCATCCGACGAAACTCACGCTCGTCCTGTCATCGGTGTCCTGAAGGACCCGACCGTCTTTCTGAACCAGAAACTTAGTAGCTCGCTTCTACGCATTCTCCCAAATCTATACTGCACGATCAGGCGGCACGCCGCATCCGATGGCCCGTGGACGCAGACGCGGCCGCGACAAGGCCGCCGAGCCCGAGGAGCCGGAACAAGTAGAAATTGCGGAGGAGCAAGCGCAGGTGGAAGAACACGCCGAAGAGGAGCCAGCGGCAGAAGATGCCGACCAAGATGTGGAAATGCCAGACCCCGCCTCTGAACACGAGCCGGAAGTGCCAGGCGAGTTGCTGAGCTTGAAGTTCGACGAGGAACTGACCTGGAGACCGGGCAAGCCCATTCCTCTCCAGACTCTTCTTGGTCGCCTCGAGCGTCTCTCCCAGGAGCTCAGCAGCATGGAGCAGGACCATGTTGACCTGGATTCTCTCGCCGACGTCTCCCATGCCCTCGGTCAGCGCAACCTATTGACCCATAAGGACCAGGGCGTCAAAGCATACGTCGCTGCCTGCATTGTCGACATACTGCAGCTATCTGCCCCCGACGCCCCTTTCACCTCGGACCAGCTGAAGGTTTGTTTTGTTGTGCTCCTTTTACCCCGAATACTTGCATTTTGCATTGCATTCCTTGGTCAGCCCAGGCCCCAGCCCCAGGCTCAGGAAACCCGACTAACTGACGGACGTCTGCCTTCATAGATCTTTTTTACCATGCTCGTTTCGCACATCTTCCCTTGCCTCGGCGACCAATCTCATCCGTACCATAACCAACACAAGTACATTCTCGCCTCCTTGGCCGAGGTCCAGAGCATTCTTCTCATCAACGACGTCGACGGCGCCGACGACTTGCTCTTGCGTCTCTTCTCCGCTTTCTTCGACACTGCCTCCGGCACCGGGCTCGAACAAGGCGTAGCCAAAGACATTGGCGCTTCCATGACCGAAATCTTGGTCGCTCTGATTGAACACTCCAGCGGAGTGAGCCCCAAGATTATTGAGGTCATCATGGCCCAGTTCCTCCGCGCCGCTCCTCCTGGCGGTGCCCATGCGCGTGGAGATCGCTCGGGCCATCACGCCGCCCAGCAATCAACCCTTCTCCTCAAGTCCGAGCCCCCCGCCTACCTCATGGCCAAGGAAATCTGCAACCAGTGCTCCGATAAGATGGTACAGTACGTGAGCCAGTACTTCAGCGACGTCATCATAGACGCCTCCCGCTTCGCCGTCAAGTCCAATGGGCACCGCCACGACGACGAGCACGACGACGACGATGGTCCCAGGGGTCCTACCGAGGCCGAGCTGAAGGAATTGAGGAAAGCACATCTCCTCATCAAGGAGCTATGGCGCGCCGCTCCCGACGTCCTTCAGAATGTCATCCCTCAGGTTGAGGCCGAGCTGTCCGCCGACAACGTCGAGCTTCGCCAGATCGCCACCGAAACCCTGGGAGATATGATTGCCGGTATTGGAGCGGCGGGCCCGCCTCCCGCCCCGATCATCGACCCTGCCGCCTACCCCCCGCTGCGGTTATCAGACGAGGAGCCCGACACGACGACTGCGACCAGCGCTCTTACCACCCCTCTATCCCCGCAATCCTTTGCGCAGACCCACGCAGTCGCCTACCACAGCTTTCTCGGCAGGAGGCAAGATAGGACGCCGGCAGTCCGTGCCGCTTGGACCACCACGGTTGGGTATATCCTGTCGACATCCGCCGGTGGCATTGGTCTGAGCAGGGAGGAGCAGGCCGAGCTGATCCGGGCCCTGGGCGACAAGCTCAACGACAGCGATGAGAGGGTCAGGTTAGCAGCCGTCCAGACCATGGAGCTCTTCGGCTTTCGCGATTTCGTCCTGAAGCTTGGCCCCACGGGGGGTATCGACAAAGAAGGCTCCATACTCCGTAGCCTGGCCGATAGATGTCGCGATAAACGACCGGCAGTACGCGTCGATGCCATGACCTTCCTTGGGAATCTCTGGGGGGTCGGAGCGGGTGAGCTGGCCAGTGGTCAAGACGTGGTGATGCCCCTCAACGGCATCCCCTCGGTCGTGTACAAAGCCTGGTATGCCAACGATCTGGAGCTGAACATCCTCATCGATCGGGTCATTTTCGAATGTTTGTTGCCACTTTCGTTCCCGCCCATCAAGAGCAAGGGTACCAAGGCCTCGGCAAGCCAAAGCCAGCCCAGCGGCACCGGAACTGTGTCCGATCAAGACCGAATACGCGCCGAGAGAATCCTGCTGCTCGTTCAGTCTCTCGACCCACAGGCGAAGAAGTCCTTCTTTACTATGCAGGCCCGGCAACCGCAGTTCGCCGGCGTCCTGGAGGCTTTCATAAAGCAATGCGAGGCATACAACGGGGGTGTCATGGACGGCGCTGGTCCGAGGAAGACGGCCGCCCTGGAGAAGACCATTCAGTACATCGCTCAGTTTTTCCCCGATGCGGCCAAGGTCAAATCGGATCTGTACAAGTTTGCCAAGGCGAACGACCGCAGGAATTACCAGCTCATCAGGTTCTCCATTGGTTCCGAGAACGATTATAAAACAGTGCGCGGCGGCATCAAGGAGCTCGTTAAACGAATGCAGGGGGGGCCCGCGGCGAGCGCCCTCGACACTCTCATCCCATTTCTTTACCGTTCGGCCTGTCTCATTTTCAACCGAAGCCATCTCTCCACCATTCTCGACTACTCGAAGACCGACAAGGACGGTTTCGGCCCAGTGGCCCACGAGATCTTACACGAGATTTCTCTACGCAACCCCGACATGTTCAAGACCTTTGTCGTGGATCTCTGTAAGGAGCTTGTCCAACAGTCGCCGTCCGAGCACAATGAGAACGACCCGGCTGTCGTGGACATTCTGCGGGCTTGCTCGGCCTTCGCAAAGAAGTACCCCGATGAAATCCCTAATACCAAGGAGTTCGGCCGGGCTCTCACGAGCTACGCTCAATTCGGTCGGCCTGTCAAGGCGGCCAAGTACGCCATCAAAATCCTCCTAGCCAAGGGGGACAAACAAGGCCTCGTTCTGGCGACATCGCTGTTCGATAGGGTTATGGCGAATTTCGAATACGGCTCGCCTTACTTCCTGAACAAGCTACAGTGCTTGGCCCAGCTCTATCTCCAGGCGCCCAAGGTGACGGAAGGGTCCGACCAGGAGATCGTGGACATGGCCGTCCAGAAAATCGCCCGTCAAGTTCGCACCGAGGCGTCGGATAAGGACCCCGAATGGGTAGACGACGCCGACATGGACGAAGAGCTTCGGGCCAAAGAACTGTCCCTGCGCATTGCTGTCAATCGAGTCCGGAGCGTCGAAGACGTCGAGGAGGCAAAGGCCCAGGCCGGTCCGGTGTTCAAGCTGCTGATGACGCTCGTCACGAAGCAGGGCGAATTGTGCAAGGAGAAGGACACGCCCAACCACCACAAGGCTCGTCTTCGTCTCCTGGCTGGTCAGCTGGTTCTCAAACTATGCACGCAAAAGCACTTTGACGATATTTTCAGCCACAAGGATTTCCATAACCTTGCGTTTATGACGCAAGACAGGGAGCCGGCCGTCCGCCGCGGCTTCGTGGAGAAGCTCATGAAGAATCTTGTGCTCAACAGACTCCGGCACCGCTTTTATACCATGATCTTTCTGACGGCGTACGAGCCCATGGCCGACTTCAAGCAGCACATCGAGACATGGATTCGATCACGGGTGCAGTTCATGCAGTCGAACGGGGACAAGAACAATATGGAGGCGCTCATCGGAAGGTTAATACCCCTTCTGGCGCACCATCCTGATTACAGTCCGGAGATGGAATATCTTGTGGACCATGCCCGTTACCTTGTCTTCTACGTCAGTCACGTCGCAACGGAGAAGAACCTGGGATTGATCCATCGCTATGCCGAACGCGTCAAGCAAACCCGGGACCTCCTTAACCCGGAGAAGAGTGAGAACCTCTACGTCTTGAGCGATCTTGCTCAGGCGGTGATCAGGAAATGGCAAGAGAAGAAGGGCTGGAGTTTCCAGGCGTATCCCGGGAAGGTGGGCTTGCCAATGGGTCTCTACGCGGCGCTACCGAGCCACGATGTTGCGCAAGAAGTGGCGAGAAAGCTATATATCCCCGATGGAATCGAGAACAGACTGGATGAGGTTCTGAGGTCGGTCGACAAGAAAAAGGTAAGCGACCTCCCCCTGAAATAAGAACAATATCCGCCTGTTTTCCTTTTCTCCCCCCCCCCCTTTTCGGCATGTGGCGCATGCTAACGCGCATCTCACCGTCCCGCAGAAACGCAAGACAACCGACGACCGCGGCGAAGGCGGCTCTGCGGCGAAGAGGATTCGCACCAAGGAACCTAAACCCCAGACCACCAAGGCGACTATAGCATCCAAGAAGAGCAAGCCGGCTGCCAAGCCCAAACCGAAACCCAAATCCAGCAAGCCTAAGATGCGAAAGGAATCCGAACTCGCCATGGACGAGGGAGAACGCAGGCGAAGCGGGCGCAGCAGGAAGAGCACGTCGGCTTATCAAGAGCGACATTCTTCCGAAGACGATGCCGAGATGTGGGAGGGCGTGGCAGAGTGGGAGTATGAAGGAGAAGAAGGAGGAGGAGGCGAGAAAAGCGCGGCAGAAGGAGACGACGGTGACGTGGTGTCTGGGGAGGAACCGGGATCAGATATCACGCAGGAAGACGACGAAGCTGAGCCAGCGTTGAAGAAGAAGAAGAAGAGGACGGCGGCGGCGGCGACGGCTGTTGCAAAAGCCAAGGCGGCGAAGAAGAAAGCCGAGGACCGAGACGATGACGACTCGTCCGTTTTGTCTGAGCCCGAATCCTCCGTCCTCTCGGAACCGCAAGACGACGGCGAAGAGGCGGATAAGGAGGACGAAGAAGACGAAGAGGGCGATGAGGGCACATCACCCACCACAGCACGGACCCGGTCGACCGGCAGAAAGGGCCGGAATGCCGCGTCGGCGGAGCTTCCGTCCCGACCGGCTGTCAAGAAACCGCCTCCCCCCGGCAAGAAGCAGCAAGCTGCGGCCTCTGCTGGAACCCGAACCAGGGCATCCAGGCCGGCTGCCAGGGAAGTCAGCGATTCGGAGTTTGACGGGGATTGATTCATAGGTCCGGATTGTTGGAACAGCAGGGGAAAAGGGAGGAAGACACTGAAACTTGGCTTGGATTTCGACTCGTGGACTGTCTGGGTCATATTTTATTCCAGCCCAGTTTCACCCCGACCATCATTCGATTCAAACGCAACCAGATGGACTTAGTAGGAGAGCGGGGCGTTTCTTCGTGGGATGGGTTTTATACGATGCGGGGGCATCCAGATCCAGGCCTTCTATGCGATGGGGGATGAGGTGAAACAAGCTGCCAAGTCGTATCTCACTCTCCCTCTCACATAATATGCCTGTGTGAGTATGTGACTCTTCTTTTTTATCGCATTCTTATGGTTGGGTGGGCTACATTCTTTGATCTTCTTCAGGAATGGTACGCGAGTTTTGCATCAGTCAGGAAAGCTGCAGGAGGGAGGAATAAAACGCAAGCGAAAGGGAATGCTGAGGCCCATTGTTTGATACCGAGGCGAAAATCGGATGGCCGGGGCCCAGGTTCAAGGTGGTTTTCGTTATCAGGGCGGGTATATCCTGCTAAGCAGTTTGGCTTGAAGGGCATAATAGCAAGTAATGGTAGCAGGGAGATGAACAAGCTTGAATTTACTTGGTGATGCCTGAGAACTACGGCAATCCTATGCCAGACTGCATTCCTATGCGCAACTATGTAGAAGCCAGAAGCCAGCCCCAGGGGGGTTCTCTACTCTTAACTTTGTGGCGACCTACCGAATTCTACTGCTGGGGAGCCGGTCCCTCCGCCTCCCGGTCACCCGAATGCCGATCCATCTGACTCTTTTCGACTCCATATCTGCAGCGGGAGGAGGGAACGAACATACGGCTCGGTGACATGTGCGGCAAATGGCGAGGAGACATGCAGCACTTAACCGCTGAAAAGAAAGGCCCGGCTGCGGCACCTATTATGTCCCGGGTGTGCTCATTCATGGGCGTAACTTGGCCCATTTCTCGATTAATACCCCGAGCTGCCCCTCGAGACTTTCCACATCAGTATCCTCGACACCAGAGGCCAGCAGCTTCCTGATCTCTTCTCGCTGAGGTAGCACAAAGGAGACGGGTAGGTCTTTCTCGACGGCATCCTGGCCCCAGTCCTCAAGGTATACCCGCGCGCTTACCGGGATGGGCTTATCCAGAGCCCATGCCAGGGCCTGTACGGCCTGAAGCATGCGACCCATAACCTTCATGACGCGGGAAGCAAGGCGCATCATGACGCAGCCCCTTGTGAAGAGATCGTGCGTTACTGGGTCGTCGAGGATGGGAACAAGTGTCTGTGTGGCCACATGAAGCACGCGGGAGCTCATGGCCTCGTAAGGCCACTTTTGGAGGTAGACCTCGGCCAGTTCTATGTCACTCCGACAGTGTTCGAGGACAAGATCTTTGACGAGAGTTCCGCGGGAGGTGAAAGGCGTTTCGAAATGGGTTTCGTAAGGGAGGGTCTGAAGGATTGTGTGTGCAACCTCGTTCTCATGCATCCTGGAAAAAGAGGCAAGTATAAGTTAATAAGGCACCCTGTTGTCCTAATGCATGCCGCCCCTATCACGGCAAGAAAGTCATACCTGATAAAGCAGGTTGATGGTGTAAAATTGTTCTCGACCCTGAATCTCCCCGACAGGTCTTCCCGGAAGCGCCTTAGTCTCGTGTAGAAGACCTTTCTTAGGCGGACATCATAGTCGCTGCCTCTGACGGTTTGTGGCGCAGTTAAATGCTGCATCAATTCATTCCACAGCTGAGACAACTCACAACTAAGGGTGAGCGTGCCGGGAACCAGGGGTATCTTGTCCGACGATTCCTCCAACGGCTGACCCAGGACGTCGACATTCGCCATGCCATTATCGGCTGCGGCGGCCCCCCCATAGTCGAACAATTTCGGCACCCGAGGCAAAGGGAGAATAGACGGCTGATAGTAATAAAAAGCGACACGGCTGAGAAACGGTGGCGGTAAGCAACAGATTCGTATTAGGAGAGGCGAAGAAAGGGGGGAAGGGGGGTGACCTTGGTGAAATCAGGCCAACCTAATCAACCAACCAACCTCTCTTGTAGGTAAAGGCCCCATAGGGCACGCGAAATTGCTCGCCTCTCTTTCGAGACGCCGGGGTCGTTCTCGTTAAGCGCTGTGAAGCGTCGCTCGAGTCCTAGGCGACTGATCATGGCGAGGGCGGCGAAGCGGTATAGCTGCGAGGCTCGATCCCTCCCCAGGCCCGCCTCGACAAAATACATTATGGCCAGGGCCTGGGCCGTCGGAAGGGAGGAGCGGCCCTGTTCCCGGTCAAGCAGGCTTTTTGCTTCTTCGAAAAATCGCTCGGCCATGTTCTGTCGCGTGATGGCGCCAAATTGCTTCGCACGGTCCACGAAATGCTGTGAAGAAGGAAGAAAGAGAGAGAATAGGAAAAAAAAGAGTTAGCACATACTCAGTTTTTGCTTCATTCGTGATAGCTCGTGGGCAGTCGGGGGAGGCGCACACATCGCAGGGCGCAAATGGCGTTTACTAAGAAGGGAGAGCACCACTTCGCTGTTCGGACATCTCCGGTAGCCATATCTTCAAGAAAGGCGTCTCGGTCAACCGATGCGAACCAGTAAGTGTCGTCCCATACGAAGAAGCTGGTGATCAACTCAGAGACGAGGCCATCACCAACAACGCTGGTCCACGGGCGTGCCGAGACCTTGATCGCGCTGTCGGTCAAGGCATCACGGTCAAGCTTGGCCAGTTGGGCATGTCCCACCCATTCGTCGGTACTCGGGGATGGTAGCAGGATCTCGGCGTGTCTGATGGCGTGAAGAACCTGAGCGGGCTCGCTGGACGTCCTGACGCGGCGGAATATCTCCTGGGCTTCATCGACTGGCCTATCGCGCAATAAATTGAACAGCTCTTTGTATTGAGCGAGTTCCAGCTGTAGAGCGCGGTGTTTGCGTTTGAGGGCTTGGGAGGCTGTCTCATTCACGTCGGCTCTGTAGACGCAATCTTCGTCCCTCGCGGCACAACGATGGCAAAAGGGTCTCGCACCATCACACTAAAGGCCGGGGAGGCGAGAGAGCAGTAACAGTTAGTTCTTCTGAGCATGAAGGTTAATTGAACATGGGTCACTTTTTTCCCCCTTGCCTTGGCTTTGCTCCGGCGGCAGTTCTCACAGGCGACGGAGATGGCGGTTCGTTTCGGCCGGTTCGAAGTGGCTATATCCCGGGACATTTCGGTATTCCGTTCCTCGGCGCCGCTGAAACTTCCACTGCTGTCATTCACTGCCTGCGTTCGAGCTGGGAGAAGAGGTAGAAGTCTCGATGGCTGTCTCGTATCCATGACGCTTGTCACCCGCCCCCAACCGCGCTGGGCAGGGAAGGCCGGCGCGCCCTCCAACGGGACTCGGGGACTACGGCACTGTTGCGCAATGGGCTGAATTTCGATATATTCTGGGACTCCAATCAGCTTTGCGGGGGCTCGTTGATGAGCATAAACAGAGAAGGCCGTGTTCTTTGACGTCATGTGAAATGGGAGAGTGAATGAGAAACTCAAACCAGCATACACAACGGGTGCCAGGTTGGTTACCCTTGACCAACACTTCAGACAAAATAGGAAGTCGATGCAGGTAAGAAGGATGCAGGTATGCACCTGGGTAGGTAATCAATCGATCGGTATGTGGGAGCGATTGGTCGAGAATCACGTATCTTCAATGGTATACGGAGTTTTTGAAAGAAGCACAAGTAAACAAAGACCTTGGAGCTCATTGCTCGTTTGTTCAATTGGCACCGGCGGTTGTTGGCCGTTTGATTCCTCGAATTCCACGTGGCGCTCGGTTTGCTTCTTGTGTCACCTGAAAGCAAAGCTGCACTTGGCCTGTCTTGGCCAGCCCGACGTTCGTCTCTCCCCTGGCCTTGCAGACTGCGTACCCTTCTGTAATTACGCCGTACGGCGTAAACACCGGTACAACGAACACCGGTAGGTAGCCTTGCAATAAATGTCAGAAGTTCTGCCGACCACGACAGCCTGTGGCTTGCCTTTCGGTTGACTCCCTGCCTCTTCGATCTGGTCTTAATGAGCACGAAAAAGCCGGGAATGAAACCGCACCGACTTTTCTTCTTTTCTTCTTTTCCTTCCTGTTGTTGTGTTCAGCTGCATGCATGTTCAACATGTTTATCAAAAACCGCGAATAGAAGAAGCCGGAGCCAAGCTTCTAGGCCCTTTCCGACCCGTTCAAGACAGAGACGATAGGAGCGGCACAGTACGGGACTGGTGTAGAAAGATTGGCACGCTGCGACTCGATTCGAGTCCAAGGCTCAGGACACGAGTTAGGTGAGTATTCGACTGTTTGTGTGCCTTGGAAGGCAGAATAGTAGATGGTTTATGTATCCGAAATACAAATAGTTAGGCAAGTCGGCAGAGTGGGAGAAGATGAAAAGAGAAATGGACGAGAACGAGAAAGACGATGTAAAAACGAAAGTGAAGGCTTTCCCCGCATAACATCCTGAAATACTGAAATATCTACACAAGGTACATAAGGCAGTGGGCAAAAGATGAGAGAACAGGAAGGAAGTGCCGACCTTACGATAAAGTCACTCTAGAAGGATAGGCAGGTACGAAGGAGGTAGCGATGGATATTCACAATGGCTCCCGTCGGAAGGCAATAAAAACTATGACGTAGGTACATGCGGTGTACACACACTGTCGCACCCGTGTCCACCGGTTCACCGTTCGCGGGACCAATCAAAATCGTGTGCCTTTTAAGTATCGCTACTCCCCTGACGGAAGAAAACCTCCGGGCTCTCCTCACACACGCAGTTCTATACCGCGACAGTGGTTAAATACAGAAGCTTATTAGGTAAAGTACTGGTAGCTAACAGGCAAGGGAGGGGGCGGTACGAAGGTGATGTCCATGCACTGTACATAGGTACGAAGTACAGGATACGCATACTCTGTGCCGCATCCTAATTATTACTGAATACACCAGCAACACATCACTTTTACGTCGATAATGAAGCCCGTCCAGACCGGACCCCTTTCCACCCTACAATTCTGATACCTTGCAGACACTCCGTGGTTCTTTGACTGACTAAACTTTAGTCGGCTTCGTACTGTACTCCGAAACTCTATGACGCAAACATTATGTGACCAATTTCTCTACGACTAATCAACTGGTCCTACTCCGCATGGCCAATGGCTTCTCTCCGTTCTTGTCGGATCTTGGGCCATGGGCCGACAGGAACTCATTGGACGGGTGGATGAATGTGGTGCGCTCGGCGTTGGCCATTTTCTCCATTATGGCCTTGTGAGGCAAAAAGCCATCAGAGTAAAAGACTTAGTTATACCGGCAGAAAACCCATGGGACGACTCGGTTGAGCCATTGTCGTATATGGCCACCATGAAGCGACCCCAGCGAACCAAAGCAAGCGAAACCAACTTGGAATAAGCAATAAGACCAGCGTCTTTCGTTGACAGCGGTATGGCGACGCGGATCGAGGACCCGGCCTTTACACTCGCCTCGACACCAAAGCTCGTCGATACGAAGGGCCCAGCGACCCGCGGCAGAGGCCGGTCCCGAAAGACAGCGGCATCAGGTGCTATAGCTTCAACTATACCCACCGCAAACCCAGCGAGAACATCCGCCAAAAGACAGAAAGATCCCAATCCCTGCTGTCCTCCTGCTCCTCCATCATCATCCTCGACATCATCCACCCCTTCTTCGTGCGCGGGACGAGATGACAAGAAAGCCCACCTCCGCCAGCGAAACCGAGAAGCAGCCCGCAAGTGCCGCGTCCGCAAACAGCGCGGCATCGAGGACCTCCAGTCCAACGAAGCCGCCGTAACCGCCGTCCACCAGGCCCTCGCCGCCGAAGCCACCATGCTCCGCAGCGAGGTCCTCATGCTCAAGAACATGGTCCTGCAGCACGGCGGATGCGGGTGCCCCTATATCCAGGCCTATATCGAGGGTGCCGCCTCCAGGCTGCTCACGAGGCCTTCGACCTCCTCGTCCTCCGATTCCCCCGTCTCCCCCCGTTACTCCTTTCCCCACGATACCGAGGCCGACCACGCCTACTCAGTAAGGAATTCGACCAGCACCACTAGCGACCCTCCACGAATGGGAAGCGAGGGCGGGGAGCTGGCGGGGGTGGACTTGCTGAAGGCCTGACTTGCAGTATGCGTCCTGGTGCTGTGTTCTGATAAGGGGCAAAAAAAAAAGGAAAACCCGAAAAAAGTCAAGACGGCTCGCGAAGACCCATGACACTTTGCTTCTCGAGTTGCTGACCGCGACGGCTTCAAACCCCAAAGTAGGAGGGACAAGTAAAAAGGCCCAGCTGAAGCGCATCAATGTGCGCTGGAGATCGCTCGTTTATAAATCGGCTGCTGGGTTGTGAGATTCCATTAAGGTAACTCTGGTTGGTCTGATGGACTTCCGTTCGTTCGAGGCCGCTTGGTTACGCCTTCGATGATACCAAACTACGAACCTGGGACTTTGAACCGAGGAAGAATTGTCAGAGGAATGAGACATGCGATGGCCGAATGCATGCGCTATAAGTTGGACGAAATATAGTATGCGCCAACGGCATTGCATCACAGCAACTTAAGCGGAGGCTTGTACGATAGTCGAGAGGTCGAGAGGGACGGAAAGGAGACGTCTGCCCACTTACACAAGGACCCAGGAACATTTGTCGGTCTTTTCTGTGCGTTGTTTGCAAGAAGACGACGACCAACCCCCCTCAACCCGGGAGGGGGGGACTGGATTTTGCAGCGGGAGAGAAGCCAGAAGTTCTCACGGTTTTGCATTCTATGCGTTCTTTGCAGGATCATGAATACCATTCTTGTGGAATAAAGACAATATATGTCCCTACTCACGCACTCGTTTAGCCCGCATCACTTCACAAAATACAAAATTGGACGAGCGCAACGTGATATGTCATATCATTAGATTATTCCGTTTATCATCTTACACGCTTCCCCTGCCTCTCTTGCCCGTCTCTGTACGTGTCTGAGGGCGCCAGATGAAATAACCCCAGTAAGTTTGCCGTCTGAGATTCTAGATATATACGGAGTTATAAGGAGACTACATTCCTTATCGCTTCCTTGTCCACAACCCATCCAAGACTCAGACCCATGTTTGTAGTTTCTCGTTTTTCGCCGGTCCTGAACCTGTGTATTGCCGAGAAAAGATGCAAATACCTCCAGAAACTAAGAGGCCAAAAAAAGAAGAAGAAAAGAAGAAAAGACATGTCTCATATCCCATGATGCGGTGTAATCATCGTGTTCCGCCCAGCGGCCACGCGAACGTATCAGAAAAAAAAAAGAAAAGAATAAGAAAAGAAGAAGAAAAGGGAATCTCGTCGTAAGACCGATGTAGATGGTGTATCAAGAGCAGCACGTCGGTTTCAACAGACTCCCAAGCCTTTCTCTGCGAGAGTGAAGAGGTCCTCAATAGCGAGAACATGACCACCATCCAACCTTGGGAACTTAAGTGATCGGCGCCAGGAAGAGGCTCAGCATGAGCTCGTCGGCGCTCGGTCGGAGGTTATGGTCGATCTCAAACGTTTGGGCGAGGAACGTCTGGGCCTCCGGGCTGGCATGATCCGGGATGGTGGGGGTAGCTTTCGCGCCACCAATCTTGAAGATGGCCTGAAGCTGCGTGCAGTCAGGAAAAGGGTGTGTGCCCGTCATCATTTCGACAACTAAGCAGCCGAGAGACCAGATATCGGCCTTTCGGGTATACGAGGTCTGTTTGACAACCTCGGGCGCCATCCAGAAGACGGAGCCTTGCAATGACGGGCGATGTTTGTTGTTATTCGCACCGCCCAAGATGTTGGAGGCCTCAAGTTTCTTGGAGATGCCAAAGTCGGAGATCTTAATAGTCCCCTTGTTGTCGACGAGGATATTGGCGCCCTTGATGTCTCGGTGGATAATGTCCCGATTGTGGAGATACGACAGTCCTGTAAGGATTTGGCGGACAAAGCTGCGGACCAGCGGTTCGGGCAGAGCGCCGTACGAGTTGAGCATGGTCTGCACCGAGCCACCGGGGACATACTCGAGGAAAATGTTGAGGAAGTCGGACGAGGAGCTGCAGCCGAGATACTGCACAATGTTGGGGTGTCGGAGGTCTCTAAGCAGGCTGATCTCACGTTTCAAGGCTTCGATCATGCTCTTTTTCCGTGAATCGCTCTGGCTGTTCGCCCCAGGAGATGGTGCCTCTACCTGCTTTACGGCAAGCAGCTCACCGGTCACGGCATGGAGGGCGAGGTAGACGCAACCGAACGAACCCTGTCCAATCATGGCACCCTTCATCCACTTGTCGTCGGACCACGACTCGCCGGCAAGGAAGCTTTGGAGCTCTTCATCGGCATCTTCGCCATCCTCGTTGAGTGCCTGCGTCAGCTGCTCCATTGAACCAGAGCCTGTGGATTCACCGTCGAAGAAGCTCTTCCTCGAGATGTTGCCATCGGGGTCGGTGACGCTGACGGCCGCAGTATCCGAGTTGCTATCGGCGAAGGACACGTACGATTTGCGATTCGGTTCCACGGGTGACTCCTCCTGAAGGGTATCGAGCACGGAGGACGTGACCGAGTCACGGTAGGCGTGGGTGTTCCGGGCTGCCTGGCGAGCGGACTGTCCCACCGGTTTCACCGCGCTCAGCCAGGTGTCTGCAATGGTGGGGATGGGTGGGGCGTCGGCAATGCTCGAAGCAAAGCTAATATTGCTCGCAACACTCAGACGACTGTTGACCTTGCTCAGACGAGTCGACCTTCTCATAGACAGACGCGCCGTTCTGTCGATGTCTTCTCTCGGATGGTCGGGGAAGTAGGAGGTAAGATCCGAGGTAATGAGCTCGCTAGGAGGCCGCAGGCCACCAAACGGTCGGAGAATGCCTTTGTTCCTCCGTTGGGGCGGCCGCTGCGCGTCGGTGGCGGCGGCAGGGCGTTCCAAGTCCTTGGCTGCGTTGATAACGTTCCGTTCCCGATCGTGGTACGAGATCGGGGAGAGAGGATGCTGGAGTTCGTCGTTCCACCGTTCACCCAGCAGTTTCTGGACTTTAAGCTGGCTGCGCTTGTCCACGGACTCGAGGGCCCGAGCATGATTCTGCTGCGCCTCCTCGATGGCAATGCCGGCCGCACGCTCAAGTTCGGCCTGGCCCGGCTCGCCCGCCGGGACGCGTCGCAGAATGAGGCGATTTCGCTCGGGCCGCTTTTGGTCCTTGATGATACGCCATAGCTCCGTATCTCCCAAGCGACGGCACTGGCTCGGATCGGGTTCGATGCCCGTCAGGGCCCAAAAGCAGTAGTTCCTCTCGTGGTCCTCGCGGAGAGCAAACTTGCGGAGGGTGACCCTCATGACTTCCTCACAGGTCTTGCAGTCGGCAATCTTGACGACCTTGGTGACGCCCCCCGTAGAAATGACGCGGATGACATCTTGGTTCTGTGGTAAGGCAGCCATCAGTGAGCCATCCATACTGGAGTTGTTCCTGGTATGGGATGTTACCAATCGGCCGGGTTGGGCAAGGTCGGAGGGCGACCTCGAGGTATTAGGGGCAGCGTTGCTCATGTAGCTGGGGTTCTGGCCGTATCGAGTGCGCGTTTGTCTCAGGTCAGAGGCAGGAATCGGGGAGCTAGGACGCGACGAAGTTTTTGACATGTCAGGGACAATAGTCATGTCAATTTGCCTCGAGTATCGTCGGTTCGCAAGAGGAGTCGGCATTCCTCGACCCCCAGATGTGGGAGCGGATATGGTCGTGGTCGCAGACAGGGGACCGCGCGGCGAGTTAGTATTAGTTGAAGAAGTGAATTGAACATCCAGTGCGCCAAAGGAATCCTGCAAAAGTTGTTTGTTAGACCGGTTGGGCCCACGACGGAGTGTAGACGACTGGCATACCCTATTTCTCTTCTTCTGGTTCGCATACGCCTTTGTCCTGAGTTTCTTGATGCCGAGAAACAACCGCACACGGTCTCCGACCTTTTCCACGCCCATCTCCTTAAGAACATCCTTATCCAGTTCGAGCAGGTTTTCGCCATTGATATGGTTCTTGCGGAATAACTTCTCGTACTCGCCACACTTCACACTACGGAGATAGTCGCAGACGCGGTCTTCATCCCAGTTCTTGACAGCGTCGGAGTTGGAGTCATCGTCGTCGAAGTCGGATTCGGATTCGGTCGGGCTAGCAAAAGAAGACGTGGTATTATGAACGGCAGGCGTTCTACGAGACGGGGCGACGGAAGAAGGGCCGACGTTGGAGACCATGTTCGAGCCGTTCGCACCTAGCGAGGCCGGGAATGCCGTCTTCGGGGCTAGCATGGCCATTTTGTCCCTATATGTTGATGGTGGCGTAGCGAGAAATCGTGACGGAAACCCACGAGTGTGTTGTTGAAGGTTCTCGGCGAGAGGTGAGAAATATTTTTGAGGTGATCGGAGGCCAAATCAATATCTCCCGAGTCTCGTTTCACGAAGCATGGCTCGGAAGGGAACTTAGGGAAAACCCAAACCGGGAAATCGAGCCGAGAAACAACTCAGAACAGAGAAATAGCACCAGGACACGGAGGCCTGATGATCAGTGGAGTGAAACAGCGAGGGAGGGGAGGAGGAAGAGGCGTAGAGAAAGGGAAACGGATGTTGATGATAATCCCTAAGGTAGGCACGGGATACCTAGACCTGGGAAACAGGGTTGGTTGAAAAGAGAAAGTACGAAATAAAAGAACAAGGAACCGCGGGACGTAGGTGAAGAGAGGGAAAAAAAAGAAAGAAAGGGCCTGGTCCTTCGGAGAGTGTGGTCACTTGGCGGACTTGACCTCCGTTAGGTAGGTTGCTTTGAGGACGATGAAGATGGGCGACAAGGTAAGACGAAGGGGATTCTTCAGGAAGGAGGAGCCCCCCATCCGATCCTCTGGTGGTTCCACTGTTCCACCGCCCCAAAAGGGCCACCTCAGGTTCACCTGCCCTAACACAGCGTCGAAATCGTTAGTTACCTTAACTCAGGTACCTTCCTGAGCCTACGTTGTACCTAACGAGCCGATCTCGCCTCTATTGGGGTGCAGCGATTGGTCTCCGTTGACCCGTTCCTGAGGCCATTCGTACCTAGTGTGTACTCCGTCCAGGGGCTCGTCTCCAGCGTGAGCGCTCCCAGTGTCACAGGTAAAGGGATAATACCCCTGCCCGGCTCGCGCTTTCTTCCGGGGTGAAACGACGATGACGGCGCGTCAATACGAAGTACCGGAGTACTTCGCACGAATATATCGACATCGGTCATCCGAAGATAGGGTCAGGACATGCAATTGTTATTTTCGCTCCCGTATCAAGTTCACGAGAGAGCCGGGAAGGTGAGAGAGATCTTCCTCGCACATCATTCAACAAAGGGATTCTGATTTTTTTGATGGTGTAAGGGATAGAATACCAAGTACTACAATTCCAAACGGATCACAATAGGTACACCTCACCACCTCTGCCTTGAGGCAAAAACGGCTCACCGGGTCGGTATAACCGTGCAGTATGCCGGGAGACCTAGTTGGGGGGATCCGCCAAGTATGAAAGCCGAGCACGACTGGCTGTCCGTCGCCTAAGGTACCTTACCTAACTAAGCATTCGGTAGTGCCAGTCCATCTTGTGTATATTGATAACCCTGTCTGTTATAATATTACACCGTATATAATGACCTCCGTGTTGTCATCCCGTCAATCCGACTCAGAGCTTCGACCCATTCCATTCGTTCCATCAGCAACAGTAGGACTGGATCCAAATCGTGATGCGGATGGACGATGCGATATGATACGTTCACTGCCGAACGCCACCACGATGCCAGAACCATAAAATAACTCTCGCAACCTGCAACACACTGAGCCGAAGAAGTCGCGTCTGATGGCCTGTCCGTCCCGGTGGCAGTCGACGATTGGTCCTTCGGCCATTTCTTCCATCCTTTCGGCGTTCAGATCGGTGTCCAGTTACGACGCCAAGCGGAGAAGTTCTCAAGCTGGGCACACAGGAGAGGAAGTACCACAAAGGAATTAATTACACGGCACACGAAGTAATTATGGACGAATATGTGTAGCCCGTAAGGTATTAAACGGCGACGCGTGGGAGGTAGCTCGGTGGGGGTGGAGGCTTGGCGCTAAATGGGGCACGATATGAAACCGTTCGCGTTGCATGTTTCACGATCCATCCCTGCGACCGCCGTTCCATTTTTGGTTCCTGGCCTTATGGTCCGCATTTTCCACCACCCATAACAGACCGCCACAATAATATTGACGTGATGTTGGTCTGCGTAAGGTAGGTACCTTACGATAAGTGTACATACTGTGATCGTCCTATGGTACGAAATACTTCATACGCATCTCCCCGATGAGCTTCCGTCAGTAATAATTACTGGACGAGCACGTACTCTCCTGACCAGATCCGACGTGTCCTCTTTTATTAGCCACGTTCATCACTTTCACATGGAACCGACCACCTGGTTGACCCAGGGATGACGGAGGCGCCAATGAAAACACCACCTACGAAGTATTTCTTTCTCCGTGACCTGCGTTGAAGATCGCCGGCTGGCGTTGTCAGCTCTCCCTCTCATCTTACCAAGTCGCCGACCCTACTCATTCGGATACTCGGCCGAGACTCCAGGAAAGCGTTCCAACACATGTGACCCAAGAAACCAATGGTTGTACGGATACGGAGTACCCGTTCGGTCACCACAAGCGGCACTAAGGTACCTTATGATAATACCGCTCTCACAGTCACCCCTTGCGTGACGAGAATATTCAACTCATCGAATGCTGTCCAGCGCTGGATATCTAGGAAATACTAAGAATAGGAGAAATCCGATGCTGACTACCTCAATATGGAGAGTCACCGGATTTGCCAGCTGACTCACATCAGAAGGCCAGCCAAACAGACAGGTCGCCCACTAAGGACGAAGATAAAAGGATCATGATTCTAATAGATTACTTACAATCCTCTAACTTTCATGACGTGAACCATTGAAGCTTCCCATTCATCCATTCGGTCGCTATGACATTACAACAAGAGCTCAACTTCTGTTTCCCTTTGCGTGAGCTCGCCAATGACAGAATTAAGTTGACTCCTTTCCAGGTAAGCATTCATTGCACTCTCTTCTCTCTTCCAGACTTCAGCCATACCTCCCCTTCCCCCCTTCTCGGCGTACCCAACGGTCGACAAGCTGACCATATCCGCTGGGCGAAAACCACAAAGGCGAAGCGCCATGCCGCGAAATTCTTCGCCATGACGGCTCAACATCCCGAGCTGTACGCCTACGCAGCATCGGGACCGTACGACAGCGAGGCGCAGTACGTCTCCTGCTTCCTCGAAGGGATGGCTCTCAAGGACCCGGGAATGGCAACGTTCGCGGTAATCGACAAGACACGTCCTCCATCGGCCGAAGACGACGAAGGAGAATTGGCAGGGACCATGTCATACATGTCCAGCTCGGCCCCTTGGCTCGGCACCGAGATCGGGCACATCTTGATCCTCCTGCCGTACCAGCGCACTCATGTTACGACCAACGCGGTCGGACTCATGATGCAGTACGCGCTCGAACCCCAGGGGAAAGGGGGCCTGGGATTGCGGAGAGTACAATGGCGAGCGCACGCGAAGAACGCCGCCTCCATCAAATTGGCGGAGCGGATGGGATTCCAGAAGGAAGGCATCATGTTGTGGCATGTGCGGTTTGAAAAAGGCAGGTTAAAGAGCAAGGTGGGAAATGATAAGCCGCTCCCACCGGGAAGCGACCCGGACGACCTCTGGCGCGACACGATCGTCCTGAGTCACTGCTGGGACGCATGGGAGAATGGAGGTCGGGCATTGGTGGAAGCCGCCATGAACCGTGCGGTGTGATGACGATGATGTCCCAGGTACTGATCATGATGCTTTTGACAAGACGCGGACACGGCGACTTTAGGACTGGATCATCGCTCGTTCCTCAGCCTTTGCCCCTAATCGCTTCACTAATTGTCCTCCCTGGCATTGCGGCTCTTTGTACTTTGGCGCAGGGCCAGGATCAGACAAGGCGTCAACCAGTGACGGACGCTCTCTATTCCTGCCTGCGTCGAGTTTTAAGTGTCGAATGTCAAGTATCAAGTGACACGCCCTTTGGATTCGTAAAATGTTCAAGGTGGATCTTCCCCATTCCACTATTCCCTCCAGCCCCGTGGTGGAACAGTAATAAGGAGTCATATCTGCGCCGTTCGTAGTCACGGGAAGGGGGG